CATACCGTTCGAGTGAAGGTGGGCGGTGCCTACACCAAGCCTGTCCTATTAATCAGCAGGCCCATGTTTCCGGTCCTCATCAGTGACGCTGTGAAGATACCTGAAAATCGTTCAGCTGTAGCACCCTTTCGGTGCCCAGCTGCCATGCCACCTGGAGGAAGCACGAGGGCTGGGATACTGCCACGTTGCCCAAGCCTAGACAGGGGAAGTCGAGCGACAGGGTTCGGGTTCGAACCACGGACCTTCCGATCAGTAAGTTCGCGCTCTAACCACTGAGGCATCTCGTCCCGGAGTGGATTGCTTGTCGTGCGGCGATGATCCGAAGCTGTGGCCGACAGTATCCATTGTTCAAAGTGCGCACAGGTACCATGAAATGGTACCTGTCTGCAAACCGTGGTAGATCTCCGATCAACCGGGAGCAACTCGGTGCCTGCTACATTGGTGGCCATCCACTTGGGGATTATACATGGATGAGGGACTCCGGTGCACTTCTGGTTTCAAAATAACCCCGGACATTGTGAAGAATGTGCGCCACAAATAGATTTTTCTCTGACGATTCTAAACATTTATAGGCTCCTTTAATGTTATGCCTTTCGAATCGTGTACGTGTGTGAGGCGGTTTCGATTACCACAGTTTCTGGTCATTGACAAGACATTTGGAACTTCAAGGGAGATAGGTGAGTTTACAAAACGTGGAAAGCTCTTTGAAGAGGATTAAGTGAGGGAATAACAAGGGCACAAGTCACCGGTCTGACATCACGAACAACAAGTCTGACAGTTGGAAGTGCTTGTTTTTTTTACCAGGTCTCATAACCTCTCATGGACACTGTGGCTAATAGCACTCAGTTTTATAGACATTTTTTTCAACAATATACTAAGAACTATTTTCTTTTCCACGTAAACCATTAGAAAGAGGTCTCAGCATGATAATTAGTGTAATTGGGCGTCTAGTTGATGCCGCGGTTAGCGTTTTTCGCCCTCGCAGGCTGACCATAGGAAGCGCCTGCATAGCGCTGGTTTTTGAATTGAGGAAGTCGTATGCCACGTGGATTTCTATGTTCGTTCTAGTGTTCTTGTGGAGTGGGTCAAGAAGGCCAGGTCTAAACACAATAAAGTGGGTGGATTGCGTGCGGCATAATGTGCCTGTACTTGTTGAGACAGGGCTTCCTTAGTCTTCTAGAATCTGAGTTGTCCTTCAGAGAAGTCATAACGTAGTTGTACGATCAACATCTTAACCTAACGCCACTCTAGGCGTGCTAAACTGAGATCCGGGACGAGGTAATTCAGTATCGTACCAAATGTGAGTGCACAACAGGTATACAGGGTGTTTGCCTTTTGTGTATCAGATGGCTGTTGATCTGTTCGCCGCAGTTGGCCACAAATGTTCTCAGTCTCCTAGCAAAGAACCTCTTCAACATGTGTGTTTAGCCTCTTCACTTTTTATTAGCTGGCAAAGTAAATGCTGTTTTGCGAATATGCCCCTCAGGCTCCATTGAGAATGTTTACCGACTTACTTTCCTGCAACTTTCATGTGAAGAAAAAAGCGGCTCCAAGAATATTCCAGACTGGTGATACACATTAGGAACAACTAGAAAAAAGGTCCGAGCAGGCCATTTGGTTTGTTTTTATTTGCTGGCAAATAGAGATCCAGGAAACCAATGGACAGGAAGTTGAGATTCCTAAAAATAGCTCCGGAATGCTTGAGACCCATTGACTTTCAAATTTCATAACAATAACAACAATAATGAATCCAGCATCATTCACTCCTGTTAATCACCCAATCAATTTCGCGAAAGCCGGTGAGTGTTGAGGCACGCCACTGGATCACGACGGACTATGATAAGTGTTCTGGCTTTTCCTAGAAGCACGGCCAATGTTGATGGGTATTCACATAACGCCGATCAGATTTCTTGGATCCCGGCGTACAGCTATTAAATCTGCTGACTTCTCTGGAAGCATACCCTGGCGCCTCACCTTTGAACGCAGCAGAGATTCTGTTGAAATGCTTATCCACAAATTGCCTCAGTCTTTTCCCCTATCTAGGCTTGGGAAAGCTGACATTATCCTAGCCGTCGTGCTTCCTTTGGGTGGCGTAGCAGCTAGCCACCGAAAATGTCACAGCTGAACGACGATATAATTTTTCAACAAGCATCTTGGCTTGAACAGCCGTCCATAATCGCACTTACAGAAACCCAGCGGAAATCTCGATAGACGGTCACTCCATTTTCTGAGCTGATTCGAAACGCTGGATGGCAGGTGGGCTTGCTTTTTGACTTACATGCTCTCTTGCCCATCCCGGTTGTCCTCTCCGACACCACTCTTGCACCGTTTACCAGTCCCTCGTACAAAAATCCCCTCAACTCTCCTCCAGCTACTACTCCACACTTCTTGCTGGCAGGTGACTAACATTCCCAAGGCCCCCTGGATTGAACTCCAGGGCATGGGATCTGGTGGACATTCTACTTCGGCACTGACCGAAGCCGTTCAGGGGGCGAGATGGCTCAAGTGATTAGAGCGCGAATCTATTGACCAGAATGTCCGGGGCTCGAAGCCGGCCTCTGCTTCTCGACTTCTCCTGTCTAGGCTTGGGCAACCCGCTATTATCCTAGCCCTCGTGCTTCCTTCGGGCGGCATGGCAGTTAGGCACCGAAAGGGTGTTACAGATGAACAAAGCCGTTCAACAGAACGCTTGAACTCAACATCGCCGAACCCAGCAGATACCGCGCAGCCCAACTACCGTCTCTACTGGATTTGATTATCACCAACGAAAGGCACTTCGTTAACCAACTGTTAATTGAAGGTCCACCGGGAGGTGGTGACCACTGTATGCTGACCTTTGATTTCATCTGAAGAAATTCGATACCACAGGTGTGGTTTGGAAAATTCTGCCATGCAGACTTCCCAGTAACATGTAGCTTCCGTGATCAATTTAAACTGGGATCAGCTTCAGTGAAAGAGTTATACAGGACTAGGAAATTCGCGAGGTTGACGCGAAGTTCGCCCAAAAAATAACCAGCTCGCAGTCTAATGGACCAAAGCCTACCTAAAAGGATTGGGCCTCGGGGAAAAGAGGTCCCAACTATTCTTCAAAAAGATAACTAGAGGTGACACAAAAGATGAGCGGAACCGCTGTAAATATGAAATCCGCCAATCGAACATATGAAAACAAGCCACTATAGTGAACCTCTTCCGGTGAAAAATGTGATATTTAGGTATATGAGACACTGCCGAAGAAATAAGCCAATCGCCTTCTCCCTGAGAGAATGGGGAACCCACAAGTGATCCTAAAATCTATAGAGTACACTATACGCACTTGTATTCTTCCCCTCGTCACATCCAATCTTGTCAAGACGTAACTACGAACGACCTCTAACCACCTTTGTCTTCATGAAGACAAACCCTTTTAACACGTTGGGGCCAGACGGGGTCCATCTAAGGATCCTGAAGGAAACGTCGCTCGCACTGGCAAAGCATTTTCACCTGGAGTTTCCTCAGCCGCTCGACGAAGCAACCTTCCCTCTGCTTGGAAGGAGAGATGGGGGTGAGATGACTCAGTGGTTATAGCGCGAATATGCTGACCGGAAAGTTCGGTCTGACCTCTGCTTCTCAACTTTCCCTGTCTAGGCTTGGGCAACCTGACAGTGTCCCAGCTCTCGTGCTTCCTTCTGGTGGCATGGCGGTCGACCACCGAAAGGATGCTACAGCTGAACCAATCTTTATTTGATTTTACTACAAAACAGGTGACCGACGATCGCCCTGCAGCTACAGGTCTTTTAGCCTAATTAGTGTACCGTGCAAGGTTATGGACCGCATTCTGAAGCGGGCCATCATAGATAACCTCACTGCCAACAACTTGATATTCTCAGCAGTACGAATTTCCCTCAAACCGTTCTTGTCTGATGAACATGTCCGTATTTATGGACAGTCTAACCCAAGCTAAGGACGAGGGACCCAACGGATACCATATCTTTCGATTTCTCAATGACATTCAATCAAGTCCCACAGGTTCCGCTTTTCCTTCAAGAAGGAAATGGGAAATGAGATGGCTCAAATGGTTAGAGCGCGAATTTACTGGCCAGAAAATCCATAGTTCAAACTCGACCTCTGCCTCTCAACTTCCCCTGTCTAGGTTTGGACTTCCTGGCAGTATCCCAGCCCTCATGCTTCCTCCAGGTGGTATGGCAGCTAGGCACCGGAAGGTTGCTAGAGCTGAACGACTTATTTTTCATTTTTATTCAAGGGGGAAATTTTACGCTGGATTAAGGCGTCCCTTCGGGGAAGTTGGTCGACTGGCATACGGAGCACGTGGCCCAGCCAGTGCAACCTATGCAGTGTGATAAGTTCATCTATAAAATTGTGGAAGGGTGCTTTGATCGTGTGTACGCTACATTAAAGATACCAAGCGCTGTATCTAGGTTCCTATGGGTTCAGTGATTCGAAAGTCTATCACTCGTTTTACTTGAATCATAAAAAATCGCTATGAATGGGATAATCAGTGTCCCTCACTTTCAAAGGGCAATATTTATTTTTCATTTAAATTGTATGACCTGCCACTGTGTACGGGTTGGAAGCGAGAATAATATGTCTCATCGTTGCATTGGAGGAATTTGCATTTAGATGTGGCTGTGCAAGAATTCCATGGTAATCTGACTACAGCAAAATCGAACGCTGAATCCAAGTGTTCACGTTTGCTTTTCAATGATACCAGCTGCTGTTGCTCAATGGGCTCACTCCGGGATGACTGCTTCATTCAGGTCATATAAGTGCTTTGGTTCAAATGGTGGCCCAGCGTGCTACCGGTCTGTTGGTGCTCTAAAAGTGTACGAGCCATCATTCTCCCTCTTATCCAGGTTCGTCTAAAAACATCATACTAGAACATACAGAATCGTCCTGCAATTTGTACTGTGTCTGCACAGTATATCGTAACTAACTTCCGATAATCGTCTTCTGTTTTACAGAGTTTCATTTTTGATGTCCTGCTGAAATAGTCTCAGTAACTGATGGCTTACGAATACCTGTTCAAGTATATAATAATCGGAGATACCGGTGAGTTCTTGGAACTTGCCTTTATGACTTCATCCTTATCCAGGCGTCGGCAAATCATGCCTCTTGTTACAGTTCACAGATAGGCGGTTTCAGGCTGTGTACGATCTGACCATAGGCGTGGAATTCGGTGCCCGTATGATCACCGTGGACAAAAAGCAAATCAAACTGCAAATATGGGATACGGTAGGTTTCACTAATCATTGTGTTGATTCTGTTGGATTTCAGTACGGTGGGGGCTTAGAAGTACACGACTGGGTATTAAGATTTTTCCACCTGTCGTTTGTAACAGATAAGGTGTGGGTGACATGGCCGAAGTGGTTAGAGCGCGAATTTACTGACCGGAAGGTCCATGGTTCGAACCCGACCTCTGCCTCTCAACTTCCCCTGTCTAGGCTTGGGCAACCTGACAGTATCCCAGCCCTCGTGCTTCCTGCGGGTGGCATGGCAGCTAGGTACCGAAAGGGTGCTACAGCTGAACGATTATTTTTTTTAACAGATAAGGTTTATCCAATGTATATGATCTCATTGCTGGCATGATAGGGTGGTCTGACTCGTGTTGCCTGAGAATCCCATGAGTACTAGGAAATCGGGATAGTTGTATAGGTTCTTGTCCTTTTGAAATCTGGCATTCGGATGAATCGTGTTAGTGAAGTGAAGTCCCACGACGTTTTCCCTCTTCATTTAGGCAGTGTACTTTGGTGCTTCGTCGCTCTCACCTCCCAAAAGTAGTAACTGCATTTTGGTCCGAAATCGCTACCATTTTTTGGTCGTAATTTTTATATCCTGTGTAAACTGACTTTGTTTGTATGGTAGGTAAATATACAAACACAAATGCACGCACACTTGGTCGAGGATGACCAGACCTACTACGACGACGTGGCCTTTTCTAACGGGCAGGGGTCATTCATGACGGACTCCAGCTTTCGTCGAGTCACGCGGTATTCGAACGTTCTGCCGGATCTTGTTCAGCATGCCTGGTGACCTGTGTTATGAGGAATGGAAACACGCTTAAGGTTATAAAACATGACCTTCGGAATCCAATGCACACTTTCGCATTTCTGTGTCTGAATACAGGGCACTGAGAAAAAGGACTACAATCTCTAGTAGGTTTCCGCCTCCGTAGTTAAATCTCCATGGACTATATTTCACAGAATCTCGATGCTGCGACCTGTCCTAATTTTTGCTTTCCCACAGCATCATCATCATCATTGTTAGTTGTAAGAACCGCGTATTTGTACAGTGTTTGTAGCTGCCACAATTTCGTTCACCGATGATTTTGGCAGGTGGAGTAGGTAGCTGTGCATTGGAGACGCGAACGGATAAATCGATGTGTCAGTGGACTGTTAAGTGGGGTATTAGGAATGGAGCTATGCGTTGAAGGTAATAGTTTGGATGCACGAACGCTATTGAGAGCGCGGCTGGGCCATGTCTGATAATGTGTCAACCATTGATGTGGCCCGTTTCGGGAAGACAGCAATGACCAGCCCTGCTGAGTTTGTTGGAAGGCTTTTATACTTCATTGTAAACTCACTGACCTCCCACAGCTCGTTTTCACCCTTACGTGGTTGTTAAAAAGACCTTCGAGGCCAAGCCAGCGCAACACATGCAGTGCGATTAGTTCATCTATCGTGGATGGGTTATTTCTTCTGAATACCATTCGACATACTTCAGCACTGCTGACCTGGTGTTCCTACTAGACTCGGACAATGCTCCGTGGACATCGATGGTCAAACACTGAAAGTCTTTTGACGTCCTTGGCGCTCACCGGCCAGGTTTCTGATCCGTATAGTAATATGGAGTGCACCGGAGCATTTCACACCCGACCATTGACAAATGAGCTGATACCATGCCTACGCCACATGTGACGCAGGTTCACCAAAGCTGCTCTGGCCTCCCGATCCGGATGGAAGTATTATTTTTTTGCGAAACCAGTGGGATTAACACAGCTGCCAAGTTAGAAAAACTTGCCTACTACCTCAATCGGCTCATCCGCAAACATGAGGTTAGGTTCCGAGCCCACCTATTCGTGCAGTAGCAATTTACACTTTGTGGACGTAAAGTGCATGCCAAACCGTGAGGCGGAGTTATTTAGATTATTTAATATTGTTTGCATCGCCAACGGGTCAGATATAAAAAAAGCTATGTCATCTGCGTACTCAATATGTGAGCGGACCCCCCGGTAGCACTTCAACCCCACAGGCGTTAGAGGCTGGTAGTGAGTCTTCCATGATCGTACCAGTGACGAAGTTGAAGATGAAAGGTGAAAGGGGACAGCCCTGTCTGATATCAATTGGTGCGGTGAACTCAGGCGAGAGCTTCACATGGCTGCGGGAGCTGGCGTACAGCGCCTTAAGGAGGGTCAAGAATTTATGGGGGACACCTTTGCTCCACAGGCACTGCCATAGTGCCTCACGGTTCACAATGTCAGACGCAGCTCCTAACTCAAGAAACACAACCATTGTTGGCCACTGGAAGCAGTTTCACTGTTCCACAATCTGTCGGAGGGCGAAAATTTGATCAATGCGTCCTCTTGCAGGACGGATCTGTCTCTCCCTGTGTTCAGTCAACCTTTGAAGGATAGTACCACAGAAAACCTTCGATGCCACAGCTACCAGGCTGATGCTACGGTTCTTTTCACACAGCGTACTTTTTGAAGATAGGGAAAACTGTCGACATGCCTTATTCTGCAGGCACCTTCTCTTCGTTCCATATACCACCAATAAGTTTTGTCAGATGGGGTTCTCCGCCTTCTTTGAAGATGGCCGGATACAGACCCTCCGGTCCTGGTGCATTGTGACGTTTCAGTACGGATATTTTGTACTTTATTTCTTCCGAAGGGATATCAACGTTTACATTCCATTCGCTTGTATGAACTATCCGCAGGTAGTGTTGCAGGAGGCCAACTAAACTCTTTTTCGAAGTGTTCGGCCTATCTTTCCAGTCGACGTTTTTGCGAGTGAATTAATGAGCCATCTTTTTTCACTTATCATCTCACTGACCGTTGCTTTCCTAGAGCCCGTATCAGTTGATATAGGGCACAACTATTTCCCGTGGCAAAAACCTTCACCATCTCCCGAGCTTTCGATTTCCTTAGACTCTTCATATTTGGCGTTTGACGAGATTACGTGCGCCGCTGCCTTCTGGTATGGATTTCCTGGTATCAATCATGGATAACGATCTAGACGACATCCAGTGGTCTTGTGGCCGAATTGGAGAAGTGAGGCAGACAGCACTGAACACCGCTAACATAGCTCCTTTCACATTTTGTCACGCTTCATCCACTTGCTCACTGCCATCACAGTTTTGGTTTACTGTGGAGAGTTGTTGGGCTAGCTCAGATCTATACTGTTGGGCTATGGTAGTTCTTCGAAGACAGCGGATTGTCATGCTTCTTGCTGATTTGCGAAGGCCTGAATGGAAACGAACTTTCAGGCGTGCATGCACCATGGCGTGATCGGAATCAAGTGGTGTGCCTCAGAATGAACGGCAGTCTCCATTGGCGGCTGATGACCACGTGTTATAACTGGGTCCACGGTTGATTTGGAGTTGGTGGCCGACAGGTTACGTTAGAAGTTCGTACTTGCCCAAAACAGTTCATGATCAGCACACAACTGAAAGAGTCTATCTCCGTTACCTGTGCGGCGAGCATCGACTCCGAATCTACCGCCCAAATGTGATTTTAATGAGTTCAGACTGCCTACTCGAGCATTCGTATGACCTTCAAGGATCACGATGTCAGTACTTTTAGCTTGACGAATGAGCTCAGATAGCTCCCGATAGAAAATATCTCAGCATCAGAACTGCAGTCGTTTGGGGCATAAACCGACACCACAAACAGGCACCGCTTTCTATGCCGAGAGGCTTGAATGAGCTGGATAACCGCATACGCTGCAAGCAACAGCCAAATGTCAGTGACTTACAGTGTTGCTGGTTGTTTTGAAAGTTTGGTAGGTTTTCTACATATAAGTCCAAACAAGGCCGTTGAGTCCTCGTGCTTCTTTTGGTTGACGTAACAACGGTGCACCGAAAGGGAATGGTAGCTGAGCTATTACCATTCTTTTTATTATTAGTAGCTATCCCAAGAAACAGCATCTCTGCATTGGGATCGATATTCGGACGTAAAATATAGTCTGAACGTATGATGCCCAGTCTGCACCGAAAATCCGAATATGACCTGTGTGAACCTACCGTGACATATGGTCGAGAGCTGATAAGGATTACTCATTGTCACTGTGGATTGACTGCGGTGGCTAGATATGAGGTTGCCGACATGACTTTACCTAATGCCAAAGTTGGTTCACTTAGTCTGCTTGAGAAACACGTGACTTTGTGTTGTGTTCTGCAGACGGTGGTGCAACTCTTATGTTGGTCCTTGGCTTCCCGCTCCGTCCACTGTGATATATCAAAAGGCATACCAGCTTGAGATGGCCTTTTACGGAGTTATAGGAAGATTAGTACAACCGTATTAATGGGGCTATCACAACGTTCCACAAGGTCACCAGGAGGCGAGAAGTGCGAAACCATAAAGGCAGGATCCTGATCGGCTGATATTTTGACCGATCCAAGCATGTGCTCATTTAAATCGTAGCTCTCCACGTGACAAATCTGTCCAATCGTCGTGGTATTCGGTCATTGAAAACGGCTGGCTTCCGGAAACTTTTTTCGAACAATCTAGTTTTTGTATTGTAGCTTCTGAAAGCAGGTCCTTATTCAAGCGGTAGTCTAGCAATCCGATAAACTGAAGTAATTTCCAGGTCTTTATTTACAGAAGCCATATTAATCAAACACTTGTTTTCACAATGGAAATATTGGAAAAAAACAAGAATGGGCATAAAACACTTTCTCTAGTTTACCAACTTCAAAACAAATAGCGCAGCAATCTCACGTTCTGAGTAGGAATATGTTTGGTGAAACAATATGCTGCAAATAAGTTTGGTTTTGATGATGCTTCAAACACCTAATAATATTGTATTTTATCGTACTGTTTACCGATGCAGGAAAAATCGGACCACTGAGTTTTCTTTCGGAATACAATCGTTTCGGTAATGTCCTTCAGCCGCATACAACTATGCAAGTCAAAAATTGAAATATGCAAGCTCTCTTAGGCAGCAGGCCAGGTTAAATTGTAAGTTGGGAGGTAAAGCAGGCTAATTCTAATGCCACGGTGTAATAGTTTTAGTTACGGTGGCGCGACTTAAACTCACCGAATAGTTGCGTTCTTATTGGCGGCCAAAGTTTGCGCTCCATGTGCTCTATGTTACTGAGCGGTTCGATTCAATGAGATGCGATGCAGCCCTGTCAGACGAGAGTTTCTGACCATACATAGTTCGAACGTAGAAGGTGGGTTTAATATTTTAAAAGGGTTATTCTTGTAGTGAATTCACTCACCATCTTATGGTGCCAGCTATCCCACCCCAGCGCCTAGCTTTGTCTCAGCCTAATTGGCGAATAGAATTTTGACATCTAGAGCCAACGTACGGTGCTATTACCGCTTTCACTGTTTTTGTTCTTGCTGATGTGGTGACGAAGGAGAAGCAGGAGAATCAAATGATGTTTATCACAAGACTGGAGCGGGTCTGCTTGTAGGCTGGAACCGCTCGAGACCTGGTGATTGGAGCCTTCGCATTCAAGCATTTATTCTATTTCCTGATTATTGGTGACCTCGGACTGGATCATCTCTAACTCTACAACCGCATCTCAAAAATTGTCGTCGCGTATTCATTGCATCTGCCGTCTAACATTGCCTATGCGAATTAATTTGAACCGGTTGAGTGGTAACCAGGGTCAGGGTCTGTCAAACTAGATAGATAATTTGGAAGAATCAGAAATGGTAGATGTCATGTAAACGAGCAACGCAACTAGGCTAGCCAACCTGCAGTGTTGTCAATTCTAATGACAATTGCAAAGTTGGGAAGATCCACAGTTGGCAAACTACTGGTCCCTCAGTTCGTGCAGATAAACACAATAGCCCATTGTTTCTCGTGGTACTCGTATTTCTGTCACCTCGAAATCAACTCAACTGCGAAAAGAGCAATTGTACACAATCATCCAGCCTTTTTGACCGTGTTCCATCACGTGGTGATTTTCAAAGACCGCTTGGAGTGTTTGTATCTCACTCTTTTTTTTGACTACTTCATCCATGTCAACTGGAAAGGTTTGCAAACTTGTGTTCTTTAGTTCATATGGGAGCATTTTGTTCAAGTATTTGCAACGACTCCTGGGTCGAGCATACTGAGGGAATGCGATGAGTTTCTCTTTTTCGAAGTGGACAACACAATCGAAAATGACTAACCATCTCTCACTTGTCGTGATAGTGATGCCGAGCTGTCGTGCGCGCTGCATACTAAACGTGATATGTTTAACGTCCCCTTATTTCCGGATATCTGCTTCACCTGCCCTCCGTTGTAAACACTTACATAACCTTGTCATTGAAGTCGCAATACAGCCTCGACTCTTTGTCAGGACTTCGAGAGGTAGTCGTGGATTGGCCTTGAGCGTGTGAGTGGTGTGCAGCCACGTGGTCCTAGGAATGGAGTCATCGGAGTTTTTCATCAAACAGGAGATATTGTGCAAGCTATAGTATATGGATTGACGTCGGTATAGCTATGATTTTCAGGCAGTTGGCAAACAGTTTATCAGTGAACGGAGACAAATTTAATGGCTAGGGACAAATTTTTATGTGATAGGGACAGTGGTTTGTAAGCATATCGTCACAGAAGCATGCGCCTGGTAGGTGATTAGAGCAGCACTCTTGTTGGGGATCCAAATAATTGAGTCATTAACCAGCTGTTTTGATTGGTCGGTTACATGATCTTGGAAGTGGTGTGGTTGGTTACGGACCATTTGGAGGGTGTGCTTAGCCTAGGGTTTTCTCACCCAGGATGTGAACCGAGTTGGCACTGTATAATTCGGTTAAGATCGCCTTGTGCTTTGCCAAGTATGAACCTTTATCCAAAATAGTTCTATTTCAGTTTACAACATCCCTGCATGTAACCGAACTGAGTATGCATCACATGCGGATGTGGGATTAAGTGTTAGAGTGGATTTTGTGCACTGACTCGCTTATACTTGTTTTTTTAATCATCTTCTTAGTACAGCTAGGACTTTCGTAGAAAACAGTCCTGCTTCGTCACTATCGACATATTGAGGAGAGTGGGACAGGAAATGGGAACTAATAGATGAACCGTAAATCAATTCGGCTACTGAACGTCAGTATTGAATCTTCCCAAACGCCCGCTCAACGAATACGATCGGTCGGATAGAATAGAGTCTTTCCAGCCCATCTATTGGTTGGATGTTTATTTGTTAACTCTTATTGACAAGCTTTCAGCCGCATAGACACCACCAGTTCAATTTTACGGGTTTTTTCATCGTTTCCTGTCCAAATAAGTGTATTTGTGGACAAAGTAACCATTTAATTGTCCATATATGCACACTGCTAACTTACTCTTTTCACACATGTATACTTAAGTCCGTCAGTATGTCTTGGTGGTAGTTGAGGGTGGTGAAAAATGCACATTTGCTAAGGTTCAGAGGTCTCCGAACTTGATGCGTGTTCACGGACTCAAGATTTGATCAGGTACACAAAAGCAGTCATTTGAAAAGTATGCTAGTGTTAACGGAACATACGAGTGAATCTCATCTGAACCCATCGCTTGTGAAACCCTGTAGTGAACTGTCAGAGCTTTTCGTTGATATTGTTAGTAGTGCCGTAACTGACCGACAACTTCTGACGCTCTCTCTGGGCGCCCTGTGGTCATCATATGCTAGGTTTGTTTACTGAGGACTATATGACAAATGACATCCAATCCTCAGCAATCCTCTTGCTGCTCTTCATCTTTCCGCTTCTATCAGGCTGGACAAGAGTCTTTCCGCTCCATCACCCGATCGTACTATCGTGGCGCAGCAGGTGCCCTCCTTGTTTATGATGTAACCAGGTATGTCTCACTGTGTGGTACTCCCCATCCTATATTTGTGCAGTTTCCAGTTTCGGCTAATTATATCGTGCCATTTACGTCTCAGCTAGTTACCATTCATACGATTTTTTGGCATCTGCTCGACACAAGTTATACTCACATGGCAAACCATTTCTGCGTAAGCACAAGCACCACTTTGCGCCGACTCTAGGTCAATCGATTACTCCCATATCGGTGTGTATCTCTCACATGGCATGGCTATTCCAGTCATACAAATGGAGATATCACGCTAAAGCGAAACCGAACAGAATCATTCCCGTGGACAGCTTGTAAACGTCGACCATCTGATCGATCGGGGAGTGAAGGCTCCTCATTCGCGCATACATTCATTCAGTCAGTTAGTTTGCTAACGCGCCTGTACCTGTAAGACCACCTGGAAAAGCATCCTTAAACTTCGTAGCCGCGTGTTTGTTCAATCATTCGCATCACATACACGTTTGTTCTCAAAATGACTGCGGTCTCAAAACTCTCATCCGTATCACCCATTACTGGTTCATCGACTGCAGTAGATTAATCACTCATTCTCGCGCTACCTAGTAGGGCACATTCTCTGGAAAAAGTTCATCAAAACGATGCGATTATGACACAGAAAATCCGTGGAATTTCATTCTCTAGATTTTACCTGAACTGCTTTGACAGGTTGGAATTCCTGGACAGGTTGAAGTTCACAGGATGGTTCGGTTGTTTCGTTGCTTAAGCAAAGAGCTGACACCGCTAGAAGCTTTCAGAAAACTGAGGTTGTGTTGATCTAAAGTAATCATCCATGTAAACGACCGTTGATGGGAGAGACCAGAAGTTAATTGTACATTTCTAGTTTGTTTGTTTGGCATAATGCGGACCGTCAGTCTCTTGTTATAAGTCTGCATTATACTGTGCCTCTCAATTTGGGTTACATTTTGGTGTCCCTGCCGGGCGCTTAAGGTCATCTTGCCGGTCTAGAACAAACAACCTCAGTACTTTGAGCTGCGTAGGTGTCCGCAAGTTGTGACCCAGTCGACAAATAGACCAGCTAGCTTTCCGGTACAATAACCATCTCGAAAGACACCCTTGGATAATGCGAAGAATGGTCTATCTCAGGGGGTCGTCTTTATATGGACGACACCGGTTTGTTTACGAACTGAAGTCCTGCTTCGTTTTGTTTTGTGGCCTGTTGCTTATTTTGCCACAAATGAATGGGTAAATTGAGTGTCGTCCCTCCTGCGAACTTGTGAATAAATGTAACTTTTTCGCAAGAATAACTTCTTCTCAGGGCACTGTCTCAAAAGGTGTGGCTCTGGATATCGTTTCTACCGGCGACACATACACGCGCTTGAACCGTAGCAGCGCTAGTGGGAAGGTAAAGGCCAAGTGATCCTCCCATAAAAAAAAACGGTATTCATTGCTTTAACTGTCGGTCTGTGCTGGTAATCCGCGTTTGGCGGGTTACCAAAGGAGTTGAGTGTATCGTAGCTGTTTTGTTTTGTTTCACCCGTCTGGCTAGACTTCACCTCGTTTTTTTCCTGGTAAAACAGAAATCTAGTTGTCGGATGACTGCGATCTTCAGTAATACGCACCACGCGCGTGGATGGACGTCACATAAGTAGGGTGGCAGAATGTGCAGACTCTTATTTGTCCCGCAAGTCATCGTCCATTCTGAAAAATATGCACTTTGAGTACGTCTAATCAAGGGTCAGAGCCACTGTACTGACACCTCACCCAATTTGATGGGGCGAGATGGACTAAGTGGTTAGAGCGCGAATTTACCATTGGCCTGAAGGTCCGTGGTTTGAACCCGACCACTGCCTTTCGACTTCCCCTGTCTAGGCTTGGGCGACTTGGCAGTATCCCAGCCCTCATGTTGCCTTCGTGTGGCATGGGAGCTAGGCACCGAAGGGGTGCTACAGCTGAACAATTTTTTTTATTTCTCTCACCCACTCTAATGGGCGACGTCTTGTTTCATCTTCGAGAGATAACCAATCTGGAAGCAGATGTTGCCAAATGGTATCGACGGGTGCTCGTTCTCGGCATTTACGCATTGATTCTCATATGTCTGGTTTCGTGTATGGGCACAAGAGGATTGTCAAGCGGTTGAATCGGAATTAATTCAGCTTTTGACCTTATGAAACTCGCCTCATGTGCGGTCCGTCGGTATGTGACTTCAATGAGCAACAGAAACAGCTGCAACTCGGCTATGTATCCGTACGTATGTATTCGTACCCTACCCATCTCAACACTACCACATACCGTCAGAACGCCTTCTAACTTTATCTTCTAAAACGGTGTTTGCGTGCGCGGAGTTTGCTTTGAAATAACCGTGATGTATCAACGATGAACGTCGATTCAGATCTTTACTGAGGTTCAATGCAAACTTTTTCATGCTAGAAGCGATATCTTTTTTAAGCACGTCATGATCACGGTCTTTCAGCCCCAAGTACACTAGTCCTTGCCCTATAAGAGCCATTGTGTCAAAACACAAGGAGCTTTCCTGGGCTTCACCGGACAACGCTTGATTTTTGTCGGACATTGTTTCCTTTACAATTGTAAATAGTTTTCAAACGCCGCAACCCCCTTGTCTACACTACAATATCATATTAGAAAACGTCGCCTAATTAGCGCGACCCAAATCCCGAATTACCACCCTGCTGGTCAATGTATCAACCCCCTTTTAATTAGGTATGAAGTCGTGTATGTGTCAATTTTTTTTGATAGAGCCTCCATCCATGACGGCTACACCCACATTCCTTTTTTATTTTGACATTATGATGTTTTAGCCGAACAGATGTGGATAGTTGTTTCTCCCTACTGAGTCCTATCGGCACTACGTGCGCTGGAACTCGAACCCTGGCGCTTTATAGTTAAATTACATTTATTATCCATCTTGGCTTTCCATCAACCGTTCCGTAGGTTTTTAGCGTTTAAAATTCAACCCAATTCTATTCGAATGTTCTTCGCACTCTAGATGGACCCCACTGATACCTTCTTTTAAAAAAATAAGCACGTTGTACATGATGAACTTCTAGTGGTAAATGTTCTACCTGAGAACACTGAGAAGCACAATCTGATGGGCAGCTAAATCACGAAATTTATTGAATTTCGTGAACAATGATAGTGACTCAGCGTGAGTAGACACACGGCTTTGTTCTTATCGGACAAGTTAGAACACTGCACTTATCTTCTGTTCTCTTAAAGCGGGTCACTTAGGTGTTCAAACGACTACAAGCTTTTTCAGGACAGCATTGGTCACGCATGTTTGATGCACAGTACCGTCCGTCACTGTCGATTCCAAATTGTGCTTGCAGTGCTTGACTACATCTATTTTCCAGTCATATCCGGTCTCGTTCCTGTATGGCCTGAATTAGCGTGAAATGAGTGTTGTTTGTGTGTTCATTTGAGATGCTTGCTTCACCATGTGGTATGCCTTCCTCTGGAGTTTTTCTACTCATCACTGGGTGGACGGTTGTTCAGTGTAGTCGTTCAAACGTTGGTGTGGAAAAGGACGGCTTAGACCCAAGCTTTCATTCATAATAAGAGTTTGTGCGAAATGGACAAGTGGTTAGAGTGCGAATTTACTGACCGGAACGCCCGAATCCGACCTCTGCCTCTCGACTTCCCCTGTCTAGGCTTGGGCGATCTGGCAGTATCCCAGCCCTCATGTCTGTTTCGTGTGGCATGGCAGCTAGGCACCGAAAGGGTGCTACATGATCTGGTGGGCTATACTGACTGAAACCTTATTCTATACAACATGACTATGCCAGGAAGATCTAAGTGATGAAGCCGGACATAGGTCAGTAGTACTACGAACAGCTACATTACGATGCTGTCTCGACTTGAATCGGTATCATCCTCTGCGGCAGACGTGTAAAAACGGTGGGATGTTTTCTCTGTGAACAGACGGGTAAGAAAAGCTCCGGCCTAACAATTTCGCCCCAAATATAGCAGTACCACGAGGAGCTATGTGCGTTCTCTCCTTGGGTAAGCCCCCCCCCCCTAACCCAAGTCACTGGTTGTCCAAGAAAGTCCTCACGTTTGCTGGATTGCATACAAAACGTTAAATCGAAGACTAGGCCTAGAGCCCTCGAGATAACTTTCGCACCATTCCATTTTCTTGTGGGACATATCATTATATATATATATATAGTTTGAAAAAAGTGCCGATAAGCAAGAGTACTGCCACGAGATGCAATTCGTTACTTCAGTCCGTTTAACACTTTCACTAAACGAGAGACAAACATCGTCTGGAGAACCTTAGGAGAGGAAAACAGGTTCCTATTAGCTAGGAAAACCCGATAAAATGTCTATTTTTAAAGGACAAAGCCCACAAACGAAGCCGTTATCTCCTTCGACGGCGCTACCCATATGGTGGATGCTGGTGCTCAACTGTCCAGCTGCTTTGGCAACCTGCTAACGATGTGCTGAAATCCTAGTTCCTTGCTATGTTTCAGCGTAGCAGCGTATCTGTATCCTTGAATGTATAAGAACAAAAACACTATTCTATGCGGTTTAGCGAAATCGAACAAAATCTCGGAAGTTTATTCCCGTAGGCTGCTGTCACTGACTGTCGAATGAATCGTCTTCCGTACCAAAGCTTGAAGGTTTTTTTATTCCGCAGTCTGAGATATGTCAGTCATATCCATTGACAGATAACTTCTACTGATGCCGTCCAATGAGATCAATATCTGATGACTTGTAGCACACCTGTTATGCAATCATAGTTACATTCCGTTGTATTCATTGACACACACTAAGTTTTCCGTCTATCGGCTTACGAGTCAAGGTTCGTGATTTTAAACACATCAGGCCGTGGAGGTCGTTCCTCAGGTTTCAAAACGCTGACCGTATTGTTTGCGGGTATCTATTGACAGATTCTGAAGGTTGTCGGTAGACGGAGCCCTTAGACTCCCGAAGTTGATTGTCAGTATAACTGAAGCCCACCGTATTCATGACCACTACTTTTTCGTGATTCTACCGGTGATTTGCGACAT